TTCTACACAGACTTTTTATGTCAATTAAAAAAAAAAAAAAAAAAAAAAAAAAAAAAAAAAAAAAAAAAAAAAAAAAAAAAACAGAAGTGAGGCAAGTATGCAAAGTTCTGACCTGCCACCATGTGCTGAAGCGTCTTGGTTTCAGCTGCTGGGCTTGTCTACGGTATCTGGATTCATTTACTAAGTACTGTATCTGCAAAGTGCTTTCAGGAGAAYTGAAGCAAGTTTACAACACTTTGTAAATATGTGTTAATTAGTAAATGTAGTCAACGTGGATTAGTAGGACAGTGTCTAGCAGGTGCAAACGTGTGGTATATATTGAAATTATTCCACAGCAAAGTTTGAGTGTGTAAGGAATGTTGGGAGGTGAGCCAGCCGGGTGAGAAACAGCTAGGCGGTCATTGCCAGGCCCTGTACGAWACTGCCTTTTTGGAAACACAGAGCTGGTAAGGTTTTAAAGTGGAGTGACTGTGTGCTTGCCGTTTATGCAGAAAGCTTGGTGCAGTTCTGCTGATGTTGCCTCACATGCCCTCAGCTACCTTTCTCTTGCATTGTGCACYGTTTAAATGGAATTTTAGTCTTCTCATATTAACCTTTTGCCAGCGAATACAGAATGGCAGTGTTGGTCATCAAATGATCAGCTGGGCGTTTGTCGTGCCTGTGCTGTTAGTGCAGTCACAGGTGGTGCTTTCAGAGCTGCGTGGGYGAGTGCTGTGCGGAGCCTGGCAGCGCTCCCAAAGAGCTCCCAAAGCTCTGCAGCCTGCAGGGCCCAGCGGCAGGCGGGTCAAGCAGCTCTCCGGGAGGTGAGGGGTGCAGAGCACTTAATAACAGCAGGAACAGCTTATTATCTTCTGTGCTGCTTAGTATGAAATATATACATGTACAGGAGGTTCTCCTCCTTTCAGTTAGTCACAGCTTTATCATGGAGCCATTGGGGGCAGGATTTTACTATTTCTGCTTTGTTTTAATTCAACAAATGTACACAGCTCATTATCTGGTCTTTAGCAGTCTTGACTGTTTAGTCAGGGGACAATTTAGTCTTTCTCATTCTGGTATCYATTTTTAGGCCTGTACCATCCCATATGTTAGCTAGTACTGGTGAGTGCTGTTCAGAAACATGTTGTGAATTAATTCCATCTCTTTTGATGCATTTTTATTTAAACATGAATATCTTTACATGACTGCTCTATGAGRTTCTGGGTGCTCTAATGCAGTAGTCACCAACTGTTTTTTTTTTCTGTAGCCAAATCTTATTTCAAAAAAAAAGTTAGTTTGTGCATTTATTCTAAAGTTATGTTCCCCTTAAAAGAAGGAGAAACATTTGAAGTATTTCAATACTTTCAAATGAAACCAGTCACAGAGCACGGCAGATTATTGTAAAGCAAAATAGACCGTGTTTGTAACGGTCCTGGGGGACGTGGTGCGGTCAGCTCCGCTTGTGGAAATAGCAGAGCCGTTAGGGTGGCAGAGGAGAGGGCTGTGCAGAGGTCAGTAGTGGAGGCGATGGMTGAGCTGTGCAGACCAGCCTGCTGCTGAGCACTTGAGTCCCTGGAATACATGGGAGATGGTTGAGGAAAGCTCTGGGATAAGATTGGGCTCTAGGGGCTGGAGAAGGGGCAACGTATAGCCGAAATAGTGGATTTTGAAGTAATAAACAATATGGCAAAATCACCTACTTTAAATTTGATGCCTCTGTGCCCTTACAGATGACACTGTTCAGAAACCTTGAGTGATAATACTGCTGATGACGTTTTTATAAACACAAATGTGAACTTTCTGAAAATTTGGCTTCATAATGCTTAAGATATTTTTAAACAATAAACAATTTGTTCACCTTCTATCAATGACTGTTTTAAAATGAGCTGAAGGAATTAAATGAAATTGGCCTCATAGATATCATAATAATGTTGGTAAACATGCCAGTTCATTAAGTAGATATGTGAAAAGTAAYGTTTGAAAATTGTGCAAGTGTTTTTCTCTTCAGAATGTGTTTCCTGTGGTGGCTAAAGTTAAACAGTGCGCAGAGCTGGGAAGTGTAGTTTTTGTTCTTGTTTTTCTTCTCTGTTTCCATAAGTTCCTCTTTTAAAAAAGCTTCCAAGAGACCTATTAGAAACGCCTTCCCTCCGCCCAAATATGGTTACCTCAGGGAAGTTGAGTCTAAGCAAGTACAYGGTAATAGATATTAGCCAAATATTAAATGCTTTGTTAGATATATCTTTACTTAGGAGCGCTTCGTAACTCTTCAGTGGGACTGAAGCATGTGCTTGACTGTTAGCAAGTCCCAATGGCATTCYTTGTTTGCATTTTACTTGCTCAAGGAACTTCAGGTTTGCATCCTTTTTCTTGATGCTGTGGATATTGTAGCAATTTGAATGAAATTAAAGCACTCCTAAAGGAAAAGCACATGTCAAAATAGTGTTTAAGGATGGACAGCTTGCTTACTGCTCTCATCCTATGTGGCTTTTATTTCTGGCTCTTTTCCAGGGTGGAAGGAGTTTGTTTTCAGAGAAATATTGTTGCCAAGGGACAAATGTTGACTTTGTTGTGTTTAAAATAGAAAAATTGCAGGCTGATATTAATTACGTTCTTGTAGCTGTTCTTTTTYTCTGCATAACTTAAAAAGATCTTCCAATTTCCAAAATACTTAGGTAAGTTCTTAAAATGTTAATGCAGAGTCTCATAATTTGTGTTAAGAGCATATTCAAGAGCCACATGGCTTTTCTTCATTTTTGCACACAGTCAAGAAACACCATGTTGGCTTCAGGTAAACTATTTAAGAGTGTACAATGCTATTAATGAATTCAGTGTTTGTTTTTTTCTCTCCTTTTAGCATCTCATTTTAGCAAGTCCTTATCAGAGCCGTTTGTTCAAACAACTCTAAGCCTTTTTACTGCACTAAACAAGAGAAGCASATTGATTCTTTTGAGGAGCGATTCTAGGTCTGGTTGGGGCACCATTAATGGAAGCAAAGTCAATTGGAGTTATTTTTGTTTTCCCCGTAGGTAACACAAACGTAACCCTTYGCAGTTAGTCATTCCTTTGGGGCTGAGTTGACCAACTGGCCTGCTCTGCATCAGGATAGTGTCCATTTCCCCCTGGAGTTAGGCTAGCGCTAGGGCTCCTGCTGCCTTCCATGAGACTGATATTATGCTGGTGCCACCAGGATTTGGGCTGCTTCTCATCTTTAACCAGCTTAGAATGATAGGGAAATGTGACAAAAACCTCAACCATAAACATGTCTTTCGCTCCACTCTAGTAGAGTTTTGTGGGCCGTGTTACTCCATTGAAGTCTTTTCCAGTAAACAAGTAGTTCATTAAAACACCTCTTGAAGGAGTTACAGCCATTCTCTTGTTAGGAAGTGAACAGTTGTAGCTCGTCCAGATCTAGATGAGCAGAAGCCTTGGTGGTTCCTGACTGCTCTTCCCAGTTGGAAGGACTGAGAAGCTCAGTTGTGTGTCCTTCCAGTGAAAGGCACAAGGTCATACTGGCAGTTGTAGAATGATGCCAGGATTTGCCCTTGTTTCTGTTGAGCTGAGAATTGTTTTCATATGTAAAATGGATCATAGCTTAAGAATGTATTCATTAGGAAGAGATTGTGAATGAAACCTTCACCTAACAGTTAAATGATTTGCAGTATTTAACTTTTTGACTGAGAGAAAACCCCTACCTTATTTGAAGACTCAGAGATATCAGAGAAAATTTTCTTCCAACTAACTCCCCAAGACTGAGCTCGCCTTGTGTTTCTTAGTCTCCTGATTGCTTCAGCATTTTTAGCCCATTTCGTTCTGTACTAGTTAAAAGTGTCGCTTCCCAAGTATTTTTGCTTAATATTCCTTGTTAAGCACATCAGGAAAGAGTGGGTTCCCAGAGCCTCGTTTCCGTGGCAGATCTAAGTGTGGAGCTTCCTCCGGGCAGCCAGACCTGCTGCTGTGTCCTGCCCCAGAGCAGCAAGCGGGGCCAGAGCGGGTGATTTTTCTTCGCAGTGCTCCTGCCAGTCTTTCCTCTAGGATTTTCAGATGTATTTTCTGTCTTTCTCATGGTGCCCTCTCTCCCTTCCTCTCTTGGGTCTGTGCATCCTGTGGAAGTTCTTTCAGGTCTGAATTCCGTTGTATTCTTTTTTATGGTCCTGGCTGTTAACCAGTGATCTTCTTTGGACTTGCATGCTTATGCTCTTACCAATTCCAAGTCTGGGTGCTAAATTTTAAAAATCTTTCCTGGAAGCTATAAGCCTGCATGCGTGTGAAGGCTGCTCTAGTTGTTTAATTCTTGTTCTAACAAAAGGTTAAACAATTTTTGGCTGTTGGGGTGTTGCAGTCTTGCATGACAGACCTGTACGTTTCCTTCCGCAGTTTAAATTGTGGGATATTCCTACTTACTGAAGCCAGCCATGAGCGCTCCCCCTCCTTGCAGCCGGCCCCTGGTGGGGTGCATGCATCGTCTTCTTTCAGTGTTGGCATGCACTGTCAGTCTGGTTGGTTTATTTTTCAGCTTAGTTATCTATGAGACAGTTTACCTGGTTTATCTTCCTGGCAATGAAGAGTCTGAATTTCTAATGTTAAGTAGGTGGATGAATCTACTCTGCCTCTTCACCCATCTTGTACTTGTGTAGGGTGCACCTGCCAGTCATGGTTCCCTTACCCTCAGCAGCCTCTTCCTATTTGCCTGTAAACTTGTTTTAATCCTGACACTGCTTTGGAAACTTCTCTTGATAGAATCCTGGCTTTTCTTTTAATGAATTCTCCATATCTAGTTATTTGAAAAATAGATATTTTACTCATTCCAGTTGTCCTTCAACAGACCGTTTTTATAGTCAGGAGTTTGTATTGACTTAGAAAAGATTACTATGCAGTTGCGAAGAAGTTAGCTTTTGAGTTTTGGGTTACTAGAAAACACAAATAACTGCAGAAACCTCTGTAGTAGAATGTAAACCAAATTTCTTTTTCAGTATAAATTAATCTTGTTAGCATTCTGTTTAAACAACTTTTTTCTTAATGTATAGACAACTTCAACAGAAATTTTCGAATATTCATCTGAGAATGACAGTGTGGAAGAAGAAGAAATGGGCACGGAGACGGCTAGTCCAGGATTCACTAAGAGATTCCAGCTGAGCTCAGCACTGGACGAAGTTCCAGCGAGAGCTGCCAGTGACTGGCTGAGGTCGGCGCAGGCCCTGCTGCAGACGCCCAAGAAGCAGCCGGACAGGCCCTCGAGGACTCCTGAGGACTCCGCCAAGAAGAGGAAATTACTGAGGTAAATGTCCCATCCTCCTTAAAAAATCCATTGTAAGCAATTCAAGCCAACTAACAAAAGCAAAGGAATTCATGTTAAGGATAAATAATTTAAAGGAGCAAATTTCAAAAACTTAAAGAATGTAATTTATCTGTAATTATTTAATTATTGTTACTTTTTTTTGTGCTTTCTGGATCTGTGAGGGTAAAATTGTCCAAGTGCTGTGTGAAAGAGGTGGATGAGCAATAGTGCTTAAGGCAGGACAGAGCGATACTTAGGCAAGGGTGGGATGTATTTGTTCATCTGAAATTTAAATGTCTGTGACTAAACTGAATATATTAAAAAGATAATCTAGCTGCTGAAAGGAAGCSGCTTGAACCTGAGCCATGGAAATCTGATGTATTTATCAAGCTAATTACAATGCAGAAACAGTCACTTCCTGCACTGAGTTCAGCAAAGCAGCTTTAACTTGCACGGTAGATGTAATATTTYGGTCTTGCATGACAGAAACTGAAATTATGAACAGTACTCCTTTAGACACCTATTGTGCTTTTTTCATCAATAAAATTGTGTCTTACTTTTGTGACAGAGAATTCTGCATACTGTAATCAACCCGAAAATGTGGCCCTTAACCAGTAACTCTCCACGTTAGTTACTAATAGAGGCATACGTTATTTATGTTTTTATTCTCAAGGGCTGTTTCCAAGAGCTGACTTAGAGAACAGACTTAAAACCTTATTTAATTGCTGAGGATCTCTGTAGAGAAGAAAGTGCTTTGCTCCTGCAGTCAGGTTTTACTTCTCATTATTTCAGCAACAACTGCACTAGTTCAGCACAAAGCATGTGTGAAGGATAAAGGAACAGGACGAATGGATAGTGGTATTTTGCCCAGGTATTCTCTGAGCTTTCAGCCACTGACTCCCTGGGGACTTTGTTACCCTCGCTGGGTTTGTCTTTCCRTGAGTTTATCCAATTTCTTGCTGTTTCTGTATAAACTTTTGGGTGCTGCAGGACATCCCATGGTTTGGAGTTCGTAACTTAAGTGTGACTTGAGTCTGCATCTACCAGATGCATTTGCTGACCTCTCCTACCAACGACTGTCTCAGTGCGAGACTGTACTTTGTAGCAGAGATGCTCTGAGTTGTGTGAGAGACTCAACTGCTCTTCTCTGAAAGTGCTGAATGCAATCTGTTCAGATTGGATAGAGAGCAGCACAGTTTAAGGGGAWGCACAGATTGGAAGAGTGAAAGAACACCTTGGGCTTCTTTGGGAACAGGGGAGCAAGCAGGAAAATCCTTAGTTAGGAGGTTCATCTGTCTAGTTCTTCACGATGCAGGCGACTTGCTTGTTTGTGTCTCGCGTGCGGGGCTTGGGTTCTCTCTTCCATTCTCCTTTTTGCTGGACGTTTTCACCGCTGTATCAACCGCAACTGTGGGAGTCTGCATCATGAAGGGGAAGGCTCCAGCTTCCAGTGCTGGGCCCTAGAGACCCCTTCAGGGAATGATCTGCTGGCTCCTCAATATCCGAAGCTGGCCGGCAGGCTCCCTCACTGACCATGTTGAACTTGGGGAGCAGGTGGGGGACAGAGCTGCACCCGCCAAAAAGAGATTCTCGGCTAAGTGGAACGTGGGTTGGGAGGAGGTGCAGGTRATAGAGCTACAGTCTTTCTCTGTGAATTCCTTTGTGAGAAAAGTTCTAATTCAAAATCTGATCGTATCAGTTATCTTATAAGAGTCCTGATGCAAGGACAATAGACCTCCTACATTTTTGTCCATTTTTGAGAAAAGCAATTTATTTCTGTGTTCATCACTCTCTGCTGTTTGATTATAATCATCCCCAACAAGTAGAGAGGATATTTTCAGAATATTTTAGCTTACATTCTCTGAAAAATATCTTAGGTATAGCTGTGTCTTTTACAGCAGGTATACTCTAATCTGCAGCGTCATTTGTATTACCCCATCACAGCTGTTTTTCTGTTATCTCTGTGACTGCATAATCATACCCAAGCTCAAACCAACCACCGCCAAATAAATAATAAATAATGAAACAAAAAAATAGTACTAATCTGTGCTGAAGTTGAAATAAGTCAACTTCCTACTGTGTTCTGTCTCAAATGTTCCTGCTATTAAATGGAAGTAGGTAAATACCTGGGTGGGAGGATCGGTCTCCAATTGTTTGACATGAAGAGACCGATCCTATTGCAGGTGGACCTGCCATTCTCCAAACAAAAAGCAGCAACAAAAAAAGCAAGGTTTAAATTGAATAATGCAAATTTATGGATAGTTCAAATAAACTTTCACAATCCTAGTATTAGAAATTTGAATGTAAATTCAATACCTTGGAGTGGAAAGAAAATGAGAAGCCAGTTTTCTGGCTTTTCTGGCTTTTTCTCATTTCCCAAAAGAAATATGGGAAAAAATAAAAAGTTGAGTAAGGTGAGTGAAAATGAAGGCAGATGCTGCAGTTTCCCTCTGCTCAGGGTTAAACAGGAGTGTCTCAGTGCCCTGCATGTGTGGGAAGGCTCCTTTCCCGCACTGCAGTTGGAGTTTCAGAGCGGTTCTGAGCGGAGGGCAGGGGAGGCTGCAGCCCGCGGYGCTGCCCTCCTGAGGGCACCAGCCCCGGGTGCTGCCACCCCTGCCCCCTCCTCACTGAGTACCGCACTGTGGCGTGAAGCAGCAGCAGGCCCCTTGCTTGGTTTTGCTTCACAAATGGGGAAGGGGGGCGAGGAAGGATCATCTTCCAGGCTGCTGACAGGTCATGTCACTGCAGAGGTGCTGCGAAGGCAGCTGAYAAGGAGGTGCTGCAGGGATTGCTCCACACCCAGGTGGATGCGCCTGGTGGTGAGGCAGAGTGGTGCTGGGTTCGGATCTTTTGCTCCTCTATTCCCACCASCACTGAGTTTCAGTTTCTCAATTTGAGTTGACAACATAGGGAAAAATTATGCAAGTGAGATTGCAAATCTCGCGGAGGAAGAGAGAATACACTGCATCTGTGACTTTTCAGAAAAGTAAACTTCTCTTTCTGGATTCTGACTTGTACACTAATGCCACAGGGTGAAAAGTTGAGGCTGCTCCTTTCTATCTCTCTCCAAGTTCCTCTCTAAAAGAAGGGAGAAGTGAAGAGCCTAGTCAGAGTCCCGTAAAGTTCGTTATGAGTTAAACCAGTAACCCGTGTTTAATATTTGTAAACAACAAAACTCAAAAATTTATGCACTCAGCTCTTCCGATCTACAAGTAAATCTCTCTTGAAGGTTTTATGAATTGTTTGCTTTTTCTAGCAAGATTTTATTTCCATCAGCAAAAAAAAAAAAAAAAAAAAAAGTCTGGGTTTCAGCTCAGGAAATGGATGTCTTAAGATATGTTATATAATGTTAACCCTTTTTCTCCCATAGTCTGTCTCCTGGAGCTTTTTGGCTATGAAGATGCTTTAGTTTTATTTCTTTATAATAATATTTGCCCATTTTTAGTTTAATAGTAAAATAAAATCTTAGAAAGTTCTGCTTAATTAATCTCATACCCACTTGTATACAGAAGACCACACGGAAATCTGATTTGCTAAAAATAACTTTTCCTTATCAAAAAATAAGAAAATTACAGAATGTTTTGGTATTTCTATAATGTGAAGCTACTTGGGGTCCTGACAATAAAGGAAAATGCCAAGGGAGGAGGGAGCTGTGTCAAATAAAGCACAGACTCTTACTCTACAATTTGGTCTTTATACTACAGCAGCAGCAGGCTGCACTTTTGACCATCTTGATCTTCTGCTGAGCTTACAAACGAGCGAAGTTCCTAATGCTGGTGAACAGCCTGTTGCTTGGGGAGGGGAGGCTCCTTCCTGCCCCGCGGGGCAGAGCTTTTCTTGCCAGGGTCCCTCTTGTCCTTATGTCCCTCTGCGCCACCAGAAATGTTCATACAAGTCTGACACCAGCTTGCTTTTGGTTGTTGTTGTTTTTTATTATTATTTTTTATTGTTGATATTTCTAAATTCTTTTGAACATATTCAGTGGGAGAGTTTGCCTAAGCAGAAGAAAGGGAACATCAGCTGCCTACCAGGTTTTACTTAAAATTTTCATTGGGGGCAATAGAGAAATTAGCAGTGCTGGCCCACCYGGTCCCAGCCATTCCTACCTCTGTCTCTCACACCTCCTCTTCTGCTCTGCCCAGAACAACTGGGATCAGAAGACAAAAGCTCACTAGGCCAGAACTGTGGACCTTTGGTCTCTATTACAACAAAAATTGTGTTATTCCTCAATTCTAGAAAAGTGCTACAGATTTAACAAAGGGAATTAAAGCAGTTATACTGTGATGGCAGTTCATCCAAGCTGGAGAGAGAAGAAACCTTATAAAACTGTGGAGTCAGAACTTGAAGAGAGTTCTGACTTTTTGCTCCGCAAAGCTGAAATCACTCTTTCTGTTACTTCAATCCATCTTTCTTTCTGTTACTTCACAGTCAGCAGCTTCTCTGCTGCAGGGGAGCAGAGGAGGAGGCTCCCCCAGCGAGTGCCACCTACAGACACCTGCCCCAGCCCCCTCGCGAGCCCCGAAGCCACACTGTGCACGGAGCTCCGCTCAGCACTCGCTGCCAGCCTGCAGGGCTGCTGCTTGTTTCACGAGCTATAAACTATCCGCTAATAACTAATAGTTTGACAGTGCTGACAAATTAAATTCCAACGTGCTTCGGGGTTTTTTTTGACAGGACAAAAAGTTTATTTCCGCTCTCTGTTAAGTGGAATTGGACGGCAGAACATTACAGAAGTTAGGTACCTCGTTAGTTATCTCGGAAAAATGAATAAAGCCGAGTGTCTTCCATTTGAAAAGAGAAAGAGAGGCAAATTGCCTAGTCCTGAGGTGGCATATATRTATACATAAATATATGTAATCTATATTCTTTGAAATAACCTTGACTTCACTGTATATGAAGAGACACTTTAGTCAATGGAATGCTTAAGTACACACTGTGCTTAAATTCGAATGAGCTCTGGCAAAGAGTAAACTTAGATAAATGCGTTTTGAGTGGTTAATTTTGGTAATTGCTCTGCTGAATGAAAACCTCAATAAACACAGAGAAATCAGAGAAATTTCCAGCAATTAAAAAAAAAAGGGCTTTTCAGTACACAGTGTACTCATTAATACTCTATTTTTTCCTTTTTCTTTTTAATTCTTATTTTTGTTAACCTCATTGGATTTTGACTGTAGAGACGAGACCTGTGTGTCCTCRGTGTTACCTTTTGGTGATACTTTTCCTAAGGTGACCCAGAACTTTTCAGTACTGAGAAAGCCACAGAAAATTGGTCTTTTGCACTRCATGCAGAGCCTTATTTTTGTCATCATATTTTTCTTTCACGTGGATATTGGTGGACGTTCACAATAATGACAATGTTATTTTAAATGGAGTGTTTCAACAAGCTTGCGTGTAGTATAGAAGTAGGAAGATTTCTACTTGTTAAATCACCACCCTCTTTAAAGGATTTCAAGGAAAAAAATAGTTGCACTGAAAGTTTTGTGATTAAAACAGAAAGGTTGTGGGCAGAAGATTGTATCTGAGAGTTTCAGCTTGATTGGACAGCTTCCCAAATTTGTTAAAATTGTTCATAATGAAAGATTAATTAGAGGGTGGTAAGTGTAAAGTGTATTGCAGTTACACTTCTGCTATTTAAATACAAATTTTCAATTTCCTTCATTACAGAAATCATGCATTAGTAATTAAAATATATTTCCTAATTCTAGTTGTCTATACACTAGAGGGTCAGTTAGTCATGTAGGACAGTTAAATGGAGCAGAAGGGCAAGATCTGCCCTGGAGAGGGAACCATCGTTTCCCAACCCCGTGGAGTGGCTAGATGCAGAAAGAACTGAAGACTGCAGATTGAACAAGACCCCGAATTGCAGAATCCACCCTTGATGCCAACAATGCCTGTAGCATCTGGCAAAACAAAGCCCCTTTCTGGAGCCCTACCTAGCTGGAAGCCAGGAGAGCTGGGAGCTCCTCAGAGGCACGGTATCTGAGCARTGAAAAGTAAATATCATTCATCTTTACTTTTATTTTACCAAAATAAGCAAAAAGTCACTTCCATACAGTAAACCCAGCTGACTACAAAAGACTGACCGTAAAAGCTCATTAGCCATTTAATAGTCCACAGATGTGTAATTGGGAACAAAATAATAGTTATTTTAGTAGTTTTGCTTTTTGCAAAGCGTGGAGTTTGTCCTAACGCCAGTGTCTGCCTAGTGCTGGACTTGGCTTTGCGCAGGTCTCAGTTACGATCACCCAACTGTGCACGAACCCGTTATGTCACCACACGTGCAGCAGCCTCTGCAACATGTGGACCTGTATGGTGTGCAATGAATTAATATCACATCTGTCAGAATATGCAATAGGAAGCACATGCATCTACATCCTAAAAATGTTTCAGCTAAAAAGGGAGTTGATTCTCCTGAGTTTGGGGGGTTTTCAGTCTTTTTTTCCATTTGCTTTTACTTTCTAAAGCAAAGAAATCATGAACTATCAACTCTCCCTTTTGCCATAGAAATTTCCCTTGTACCTGGCATGTTTTTTAATGGTGTTTTGCAATTTCACAAAGTTCAAAACATACTGAAAAAAAATATACCCAATGACCAGCTGAGAACTGCTCATAAATACGTTCTTGGTTGTGTTTTATATTCCGCCAGCAGGCAGGTGCAGAATGCTCTGTTACACTTTCTGCTGAAGCTGTTTTAACTCCACTTGGAATGTGCCTGGAAAGATGATTTTTCGTAAGGACCAGTGACATTTATTTGCACGGAGGGCCACTAAGGAAGGGCAGAGTTCAAGTTTGTGTGAACTTTGGTGATAACTGTGGTCCTAAAGCAGCAACGGCAGTAGATTAATAACAAAGCTGTGTCAGAGCAAGGAATCTGTTGCCTTTGCCGTCAGGCCCGCRAAGGGAGCGCTGCCTTTTTGCAGCAGCGAGGAGATGGTGGCCGTGCCGAGCCCCCCTGCCCCGGCGGCGAGTGGCCTTGCGGGGACACGGAGCGATGGCCGCGCTGCCGCTGCGCGAGGGACAGGGAGCCACCGAGCGAGCCCGTCCCGAGGCGGCTGGAGCGTCTCCCGTGTGAGGAGAGGCTGGGGGGCTGCGGCTCCTCAGCCTGGGAGGAGGAGGCCGAGAGGGATGCTGAGCAGGCGTTGAGTGGCAGAGGGCTTATGGCTCCACTCAATCGTCTTGAAGGCTCTCTCCAGCCATTGKGATTACCTAGGTGTGTAAATATACAAAGGGAAGGTGTGAAGAGGAGGGTACCAGACTCTTCTCAGCGGTGTCCAGTGACAGGATGAGAGCCAATAGGCAGAAACTGAAACACAGGAAGCTCTATCTGCACATATGGAAAAACCTGTTCCCTGTGAGGGTCACTGAACAGTAGAAGTTTCCCAGAGAGGTTGTGGAGTCTCCTTCCTTGAAGATTTTCAGCTGAACACAGTCCTAGCCAACATGACCCTCCATGAGCGGGGCAAGGTTGGCCTAGAAAATCTCTACCGATCCCTTCCAGCCTCAACAATTACCAGTCGTAACTCTACGATTCTTTAAYGTAAGCTATAAACTTTAGTCGCTTTGGATCAAAGATGGCTCTTCATACATTCTGTGGTCTTCACTGCTAGCACGGTCAGCTTCAGCATTTGCTAGTTCTTGTGATAGTTACAGTTTTGCAAATCCATAGTTGATTAGAAATTCAGCTGGGACTGGTAATTCATTTTGTATAACCTGTTTGCTTGTCTGCAAGTGAAGTCAATGTTAGTAATTACTCACCAGAGAAAGGTTTTTATGGCCTACCAGGGGTGCTGCTTGGATTTCTAGCTCCTCCTCTGTTCCTGCAGGGCTGAGTCCTCCCCGTTTCCCATTTGCAGCGATGGCTACAGTGGTCTTAGCTCTCAAATAATAGCTATACCAAGCATTGTTCTCATTGTGGAGAAAACTTGCACTATAAGGAAGGAGTAGAGCACTTTTTTTATGTAAATAGCTTGCTTGAAGGCAAAGAAGAAATACTCACACGCTTCTGTGGTAATCCAGAGCACTTTGGAATAGCCCAAATATGGCTTCCAGCATAGCAGCCTTTTTGTTCYCCCAGAAGGAGACTGAGGTTTTCTGTATCTGAATCCAGGGGTAGAAATTCCTTCAGTGTTACCTTAAGCATATAGCTTTAGCTGCCACTCCTCTCCACCTCACCTTGGGAATGCTGAATTAATGCAGCCTTGGAGAGTGTTCAGACCTCTGAAACTACACACTTGACCCAGCTTGTGCAATGAATCATAGGGTCAAGCGTGGGTAAAAGAATATTTTTGTGATCACTGCTTGCCAACAGACAAACAAATCTGGGAGGAAAAAGCCCAACCTGTTATAACTGGTGGTTTTACTGAACCATTTAGGGTGTTTGTTTTTAATTCAATATTATCTTTAGTTTCTATCAAGATATGTGCATAAGGACAGGGAAAATTTAGGACCCTTTACCTAAAATCCCTGTGTGGGAGACAGGACTGAAAATACAAGGCTTTGAATACCCAGATAATGGAAATATTTTATTTTGCGTATTATGCCTGACTACGTTTTATTGGGTGTATATCCATTGAAAAATCTAAATTAGGTGAACTAATCTATAAAATGTAATTTTACCCTATGTTTTTGTCTCTAAGGGTRAAAACATACATCCTCCATCTGTCCTATGGCTTGTCAGTTGGCAAAAGTGAGTAGCAAGTCTTGGCAAAYGTGAACATTCCTTTATTCTCCACAGAGGAGGGCTTGCTGAGAGGCTCTGTCGGCTGCAGAACAGGGAGAGGGCTGCCATCAGCTTCTGGAGGCATCGCTGCGGGTCGGAGGCCGAAATCCCACCAGGTAGGAAGTGGTCTGCTGGGATGTGAAGGCACATGCTCTTCRTGGCTCATACTGAATATATGTTCGCATATATGCACGATGCGATTCAAGGTTATGCTTTGTGTCTGTTGCCTAAGGTGGGGTTCACGTTTTGTGGATTGTGTTCAGTGCTTATATCTCATTGCKGCTWAGGAAGAGGATTTGTGATGTCTCCATCACCAAAACACTTGGTATAAGGGATGAAGGACTTTTTTTAAATAGGCTTGGTCTAAACTCTTAAGAGCTCCTGGGTTTCCTGCATCACTTGGGAAAATGGTGTTTCAAGGTTTGTTTTGTGAAAAGGTGTGTGTTTGGGTGTGTAGACAGGTTTTTGAACCTTGTAGCTTCTCTGTAACCACTTTCCTCTTAATTAGTTGATATATCTTTAGTCTGAAGTCAGCCAGATTCTTGGATAAGTGCAGAAATTGYGGGAGATGCCACGTGGGCACCAACAGAACGTGACTGCGAGGTAAGTGGCAAGTCTGAGTACAGCCAGGCAAACACGAAGGGAGCGGGGGGTTTGTTAGGAGGTACTGATAGCACCGTCCTGCTGTAAGATGTTTTGAGAAGCAGGAGGGTTATAGAGTTTAAACCTAAAGAAACATTTWTGTTTTGTTCTTTTTTTTTTTAATCTTCTTGTGACTGTGACTGTAAACTGTGAGATTTCAAGCATTTATTCTGCATTAAGCCCAGTAATTGTTTCGGAGCACGTATTAAGTTGCGTATATTTTTCAGAAAGCCCTCTGGTCTTAATTTGAAAACATCCGGGAAAAGGGAATCTATCACTTGCCTTGAGAGTTTGTCCTTAATTCCACTCACAAATTTCAAAAGTTTTTTTTTCTCAAATCTGGCTTCAGTTCCCAGCTTTTGTTTCTTGTAAAGCCTTTCTCCATTAGATTAAAGAGCTCTTTAGTATGTGGCATTTCCCCTGTCTGGCCCTTACAGAGTATAATCACGCTGCCTCACAATCTCCATTCTCATAAACTAAACAGATTGAGTTCTTTAAGGCTCTCTAAAGTATTTTCTCCAGCCTTCAAGTAATTTGCGTGGCTTCTGATTGCTCCTTCTCAAACTTTTCAACATGCTTTTAAAAGCAGGGGTAGCAGCCCTGTGTGTGCTGTTCCTGTCTTAGTCTCATCCAGACCATCACCCAGGTCCTGTTCACTCCTCTCCTCTGGTACGTTAAAGGCCTCAAGTAGGTGTTTGGTTTGATTTACTCCTGGTCACGATGTGACACGGTGACGTGTCCAGTCCAAATCTGCAACTTCTGGAGCTTTCTGAGATCCACTTTCTCGCTCTTCAGTTAGGGTTTCTGTTTCTTGTACTTAAGTACAGGAAAGTAGGTAGTGTCCTTGTTGCTTAAGTCGATGCAAGTTAACGACCTGCASAGCTAACCRGACAGATCACGATYAGCCCCTCTCACAATTTTGCTTCAAATTGTGGYACCCACTATGTTTTTGGGGCTAKTTTTTTTGAATTTGTTTTTATGTARTTGATGAAACCTTTTAAGAAAGTGAGTGTTTGCTTCCAAATTCTGCGGATACTGTTCTGATTCAGTGATGGCTCTCTACAGATGAAGGGTTCTGGGACCAGGAAGTTAGTTCTCAGAAATACTTTTTATGGTGCACTTAAAGAGTGCCTTATTGATAATGAAAAGAGCTGTTTTTCATTAGAATATTGCACAGTTTTAAGTCCTTGCTAACTTTAAAAGAGTTAAACACAAATTTTTGGCTAAATCTAGTTTCACAGTTTCTCCCAGGGACATCAGAGGACTCATGTCCTGTGGTCACTTGCCCGCCACATGTTGATGAAGTGTCACCCGCGTGGACTGGCACCGCTTACGTTTCTGTCCTTAATTCTTTACTTCTTTTTTCCAGTCGCTTTGCCTAGATCTGATGTCAAACTAGCTGCTCTCTATTTATCTAGGTCACTTTAGTTGCCCGGCCTGAACAGGAGCACACTCTCATCATTCTTTCAGTCTTTTGGAATTTCCCTGGTATTCAAATACTTGCTAGCAAGTAGCATCAGGGAAGCAAGAACATCTTCAGCCAACTCTTTTTCAGAACTGCTGTGTGGAAAATTGCGTAGCCTTGCTGACTTAAAACCATCATGCCTTCTGCATGTTATTTATTCCTGTCCTGAATTACTAAGGGGTAGGAGATTACTTCATCATTCTTGTGTCATATGAGGATATCTTCTTGCTTTTTCTGAAATCTGGAATAGAAATTTCTATCATATCTAAGTTACATTAAAAGTTCTAATATTCTCTGTAGTAGTGGATCTGAAACATTGGTAATATTCTTCATGTCCTGGCATCATTTGTGTTATTTTGAAAGCTTGTGTTTGGCTGATTACCGGTTTGTTGGACTTGAACTCTCAGGCTAAAATACTCCTTGCTAAATCTCTGCCTCTGGCTGAATTCCTTTCTTTGGTTCTTTTCCTTTCTTTCAAGAAATGAGTCAGAATTGCTGAGTATTTTATGAGAAAAAGACTATGGGAAAATACTTTGCTTTATTTTAAAGTAGGCTTTAAAAATTTTGTTGAGTTGRTCTTCAAGACAATTTAGTTTTAACAGAAGATGAGCTCTTTCAGGGACATGCCTTTTGCTGTCATGAGGAAGATCTGCTAGAACATGGGCAAGTTATAAATCTTGAGGAAAAGAAAACGTTTTTGTTTGTCTTGTGAACATTTGCTAAAGCTTATAACTAAATCCCTGAAAGATGCTGAGCGTGCTTTAAATCGAGACTATCATTTAGCATCACAATTTAAGTTTCACTCTCCATTTTCAATCCTTATTCCAAGCCGTGGGAGTGGTAAAATTATCTGTAAAATATCTATGATAATGTTTGGGGGGTATTTTCTTAGTCTAGGGCAAAACTTATTTTTGGTGGTTTTGTTCTTAGAATTGCAAAACAGTTTTTGTCACCCAACCAAAACTGATGTTTGATTTGGATAATATTGGCCTAGGTGACTGAAATTTTAGTAATGTAACTGAACTCTGCAACAAATGCAAAGCACTTGCACTTTTCATCTGTTTAGTTCCATACTTTGATTGGAGATGCTTCTAGGATTTGGTTTCCCTCAGTTTTGCCTATCAGGGTTTGTAAGGCACAATTTCCAGCACTGCTTCTGCCTTTGGCAACCGAATTTACCAAATGACAGACCCGGAAGACGCAACTGAGCGCAGCGAGCAGTGTGCAGGGCTTGAAGTAATTAAGTTGCCGGGAGAGCTGTCAAGTCCCTGTGCATGATCTGCTGACGTGCAGACCGGCAGCTCCGTTATAGGGCAGGGGCGAGCAGTCTCCAGTGAGATCAATTGGAAGCCCTGCTTCCATTYGAGATTTCAGAAAAAAAACAGTTTTCAGAAGCGTGGGCCGTTTCCCCCCAGTAGGCATTTCACGTTACAGAATTCTGTGCTTTTTATTTTGCTGTTGTTTGTTTTTATATTGTATCAATGTCCATGGTTTCCAGAAAAAAAAAACTTTTTTTTTTTTTTGGCTTTGTTTTTTAAGAATTCCTTTCTGTTTGCTCCGCTGACCTCTTCATGTGAGCGCCCAGTGCGGTTTGGCTGCCTGCGGTCACGGGCGGGAATCAGGGCCGCGGGAGCGAGCGCCTCCCCACAGCCAGCGGCCTGCAGCCACTCTGCRTTGCACGGGGGTCTCCCCTTCACCTATAGCATTCCATAGGACGTAAGAGCACGTGGCCATTAAACATATAGGAACGGGGCATCGGACATATTTGTGCTTTCTCCATTGGAAACCTTGGCAGTGTTGCATGCAGCAGCCTATCCCCAGGTTGGSATAGATGCTGGTGAAGACTGCATGCTTAGCAAGGTGAGGGTGAGCRGTGGTGAGAAACCTTGGAGACACCTTAGCGGGAGCCGAGCCCTGGCCAAGCAGGGGGTACAGAAGGAGGCAGTTGCCCTTCAGGGGCTTCCTCGGGCRCTGCTTGCTCTGGCATCGCCGCGCTGGCCGCTGCAGCTCGCGCGCAGCGCGCCCGCCTGCCAGCGGAGAGCTCCGGCGCCCGTCCCGCTCGCAGCGCTGCACGGGCGGCACCAGCGCCCGCGGCCACACGGCCTCCTGCCAGGACCTTCTCCACAAACCCACGGCTGCTTCTCTGTGCTCCCTGTAAGGGCTTTGTGACCATGTGCAAATCTCTACTTAGTGCTGCAACTTCCCCATAAAGTTTCCGGTTTGGGGAAAGAGGAGATCTGGACAGTGAGAGAGGGGGAGGGAGGGCAAAACAAAACAAAATAAAACAAAGCAAAAAACCCTTTTCCTGTCAACATCTACAGGTTATATGGGGATTCCATGATGCAGAAGGAAAATTAGTGTTCTAAGTTACATCAGACCATTCTCCTGCCTATAGGAGAGGACACAAAGAATATTTGGAGCAAACGGCGGTAGATTCTTTTTGAAAGTAATTCATGAAATTTTACTTCTCATACACTTTGGTTTTGGTAGCTTGTTTTTTTTGCAGTTGTTATTAAGGCARCGTATTAACATACTTCTGTATTTTAAATATTCTTTAGCATTTGTAATCTGCTGTGAGATATTTGGTGTACCTAACTAACAGGGACTTGTATCAGTGCCTTTAAGACACGTGGCTTGGGGTGACATTAAGGATTAACATGAACATTTTGTGTTTGGCTTATAATCGCATATGAGCAATCAATGGATAACAAAGCCAGGACATGGATGTCCCTTTCCCAACTGCCCCGTCCACCTGCTCATTGCCCGTAGGGAAGTGGCCTTCAAGGAACAACAACTGCYGAAGCACATGAAGGGAGCCGGACAGAGCCCTCAGGAGCCTTGAAGGTGAGGACAGGCTCCCATGCCTAGCAGCACGTGTTCAGGAAGGCTGAAGGGCTTGTGAAAGAAGGCACAAACAGGGACTTCCTCCCTTCCAGTTTCAGTGATTAGTTCAGATGAAGAGGGAGAAGGGGGTTGAGCGGATTGAATGTGATGAGACTTGCACAAATG